TTAAAGATCATGTCCGATCATTCAGCCTTGGAAAACAGCATAAGTAAATAAGCTTCTGAGAGTGATGAGCCTGCGGTCATTCAACTTCAGTCAAAGATTGATGTTTCAGTTGGGACAAAGAGAAGAGGCTTCCACCAAATCTGCAAACTTTTACAATTAGAAGCCTTAAATGTTAGAATGCGAGCGAACATCAGCACGCAGTCTGTGAAACGGCGGGAGGCGTCACCATGGAAACTAAACTGCAGACGTTTCATATTGAAACAGTACAGCCACGTCCTGCAGACTAAAGCTGACGATGCCGTTTGGAGTTGGGCTGGTGCAACTTACGTGATCATATGAGCAAAGTCAGCTGTAGAAAGGAGAAAATGATATATGCGAGTAGCTTTGTTTATCATACGTGTGTGTTATTGATGTATGTAATTATCGATGTGACAGAGCCTGCTTTTCATGTCTCTGGATTTCTGCAGCACTCGAGTCATGTGAGTAACACCTGCTTTATCGAGGCAGTGCACGTTTTTAACTAAACGAGACTCCCGTTCAAAGAAATGTGTGTGATGCAGGAACTTTCACGTTAGTTGTTTAAAATAATAATTCTGAGCAGTTTGTACAAATTCAAAGAAGCCAAATTTCAGCCATGGAAAAGGTACCAATTAAAGCTGAAGTTTTAATATGAACTTCTGAAAATGCAATAATCTATTGTATGTGGTATTTTCATGCTTTCAGATTTTATCTTTCAATTTAAATTAAATTCTTATATTTACCCTTTTAAATCTTACTTTTTCAGTTTAAATGTTGGGGGCTTGCTTTCACTTGGTGGGTGTTGGAAAAAAAAAAAAAAATACTACTAATCTGTTACTTTGTGATTTTTACCCGCCAGATTAGAAGAACTGTCAGTGGGAAGCTAACAGCAGTGATAACGTTAAAGTGTTTATTGAGCTGTTTTGTCCGTTCATGACTCTTATCACAACATTTTACATGTCTGTTTCTTTCACATCTGCAGAGGGAGCTGGAAGTCTTTGTGGTGGGATTGGATCGTCAGCCTCTAAGAAACTCTGTCCCCACAGCAGCTGTGGACTCCACCTGTATCCCACTGATGCTCTACACCTGCCACAGCTGCTAGTGTTGTTTCTCAGGTATTGTGTTTTTGACTGATATCATTACTGCCAACTCCAACGTTAGTATCCAACAAAGCAGGGACACTAGAGAACATCTGGTCATGCTTTGCCTCTCCTGAAATGGACACACGTGCTTAAGTTGCAGTACCAGCAGGGGGCGATCGTCCTTTAAAGCCAGCAGCTCTGATCCACAGCGGTTTATGAAGACTGCAGAGCCATCAACAGAATCTATTCATCAGACCAAACTGCATAATTATAATATTTATTTCCTCCATATTGGTGATGTTGTTGGGCATCAATCCAGTTAAAACAGAGCACGAATAAATAAAACGTCCTTGAACAGCAAACACTGTAATTCATGTCATTCTGATAGCATCCTGATAAATTTCACGCACTGCTTATGACGTGTCACAAAACATCTGACAGACCAAAAGAGTTCAGCGGAAGCTACAACTGCATCCACCAACCACAACTAAAAACCAGTAATAAACACCATTAAACTGAGGCCTGCGATAATAAGGCGCTGTGCTGTCACAGCTGCACGAAGAGCAAGAAAACAGAAGCGAGTCCTCTCGCTGCTCACCCATTCAACAGCGTCAGAAACATGACGTCGCTCTGTGCTGACATAAAACCCCCAAAACAAACAAAAAACTATAGAAGTTTAGTTCACGCTGTTACAGAGAACCTCTCTGTTAGGTTTTCTCCAAACCTTTTAAGGCAAAGCGGTGAGGTTACAGCTGTCACCTGAACGCTGCTTTTTCATGGTGTGCGGTTTCTGCCCGCGAGGGTTCACCCCGGGGTTACACAGCAGCATCGATTTCCTGCAGAGAGGAAGGTAATAAGACTCACAAGTTCGAGTCCGTTAGTTTGGAGAGAACAGAGGGAAGAAGCTGAGGCTGAAGCTGAGGCTGGTGAGTGTTCACGCATCGTGCTGCTTGTTTTGCTGTGTTTGTCTCTGTGTTTGACTGCGGGGACACGAACAGCCGCTGTGCACCTGCTCCATGTCGAGAAAATCCTCTCACAGACTCACACTCCAGCTGTGGAGTCATCCCTGCCAGCACAGACTTTACACCGAACGAAGGTTCCCGTGTTACAGGTTTTTATCTTCTTTTTTTTTTTTGCGCTTTTTCTTGAAGAATCACCTTGATGAAGAAAAAGCGCAGAGCGCGTCAGAGCTGCTTGGGTCTGATTTATTCAGCAGTACGCGCGCAAAGCTCCCAAACTCGGAGACTTTTCCTTCGTTTCCTCTGCTCCTCTCACTCATCTCCTCTGGAACATCACGTTGATCTGAGATGATAAGTTTAGCACGTGTGACAGTGACGTCTCTCACTGGTTGTCCCCCACAGACGTCCAGTGTCCAGTTTGTTCGCGCTGCTGTGAGCTCGTAAAGATGCGCGTGACACATGCTGTGCGTCCTTAAACACATCAGCGAGTGAGCTTCAGGTGAGCTTCAGGTGAGCTTCAGGTGCACAGGGCTCGTTTTCTGGATGAATCTGAGATCCGTTCATCTGAACCCGGCGGCTCGCGCTCCTTTCTCAGCCCATCAGTCGTCTGTGTTTCCGCTGTCTTGCTCGGGAGCTGCCGTTTCCTGAGAAAAACAGGTCATCTGAGCTGCGGTTGTTTTCTGGCGTTTATCAGATGCAGCAGCAAACACCTGCGCGCTCAGCAGCTCTCAGACACTCAGGGGCGGCTGCTCCCCTCTGCTCCTGCACGTGTCTGAGTTCGTATTATATTATAGTCTAAACTTCATCCATAGTCAACGTTCACTTTCTGACGCTGTTGTTAGATTGGAATCCACAATGATACGGGGTCATGGACGCAGGCAATAGATTTACAAACCTGTAAAAATATATATATAATTAATATTTTTTTAAAAATGAATATTTGGCAGTCAGCGTCTCCCTTAAGTCCACAAAGAGAAGCGATGGATAAAATCAAATCAAAATTTATTTATATAGCACATATGAAAAACAACAAAGTTGACCATAGTGTTTGACAGTCAGTGTCAGCATGAGACAATTAAAACAAAACAATAAGAAAACAGGGCAGGAAACAATAGGTGACAACACAACAGGCCAGATAACAGCCAACCAGTTAGAATCAAAAGCCAAAGTAAAAAGATAAGTTTTAAGACGTGATTTAAAAGACTGGATAGACTCGGCGGTACGAATATGAACAGGGAGGTTATTCCAGAGTCTGGGTGCTACGGTTGCAAAGGCCCGGTCACCTCTGGACTTCAGTCGAGACCTTGGTTGTGCTAGGAGCATCTGATTGGACGATCTTAGTGCTCTATTGGGATTGTACAAATGGAGGAGTTCGGCAGGGTAGCTGGGCGCTAAATTATTTAGAATTTTAAAAGTGAACAAAAGAATTTTAAAATCTGTACAATATTTAACTGGGAGCCCGTGTAAGTTGGCTAAAATTGGAGTGATGTGTTCATAGATTGTAGTACCTGTTAAGAGACGCGCAGCTGCATTCTGAACTAACTGAAGCCGGTAAAGAGACGAGTGTTGGAGGCCCGAGTAGAGGGAGTTACAGTAGTCCAGTCTGGATGTGATAAATGTGTGGATACGCTTTTCAAGGTCCTTTATGGGAAGGAACGGCTTTGCTTTGGATATCTGACGCAACTGGTAAAAGCTGTTTTTACCACAGTGGAGACCTGTTTCTGTAGATCAGGGGTCGGCAACCCTGGGCACGCGTGCCACAGCTGGCACGCTAAGGGTTAACTGATGGCAGGAGTCTGACACACAGTGAGTTAATCTGAGCAGGTGCATTAAAAAATAAACGGCCGGGCCAGCGGTGCACATCACAAATCAGCTCGCATAGACACATTAGTTGTGCCTCTTCTTAATGACAGTATGTTAGCTAACAACCCCAACTACCAGATTCAACTTGTAATTGGCTAAAAATAACTTAGCCTACCGGTGAGAGGGACGTTGTTAGCTTTCCACATTCTGACACTTCAAAAGCTTCAGGAGCTGTCCACTTTAGCAGCTTTAGCAGGGTCAAAGTTTAGCAGCTGGTATCCACAGCTGTGCGTGTTCATGGAGCTGCATGTTCACCTGCTGGACGTCACTACCTGACAAGGTTAACTGTCTTCAGAACATTGCAGAGGCCTTATTGACAGTATTTGGCTCTAATATCTGTGTGAGCAGATTTTCTCTCACATGAGTCCTCAGGCAGCCTCTGAATGCTGGACACTCGAAGACCTGTGTCTCTGAGTGGGAGACCAGAGATCACATTAACATGTGTGTCTCTGTATTAACAAACATGACATATTGGCCCAGTTTGTTTTTCTTATGATTGTTGTGAGGAGACCATAAATAGCATTTATATTTTCTGTTGTTCAGTTCATTTGCTGTTATGGATAAAAAGTCTTTTTTTGGTTCAAAATAGCTGATAACTATTTGCTGATAGCTGCCAACATCTGCAAGCATATATAATTCTATAAACCAAAAAAGAATATAGTGTGTAACTGTTAATATAGAGCATTAGTAAAATATATTGCTAATTCAATCATATGGCACACTGACTTCTGAGGAAATTTTAGATGGCACATATCATCAGAAAGGTTGCCGACCCCTGGTCTAGATTAAAGGAGCTCTCCAGAAACACTCCAAGGTTTCTTACAGTGAGCGGGAGATGGCTAGCAAGAGGACCTAGGGCATCAGCTAACTGGTCTGGCGGAGTGTGACTATCAAAAACTATGATTTCAGTCTTATTCTCGTTCAGTGTAAGAAAATTATGTGGCTTTTAAACCCCAAAACATGCTGCGCCAAAAATTGGTCCACCCCAAGGATCGGGTCCTCCGACACAAACAGAGTAACATAGTGTACGCTGTTAAGTGCAGGAGGATTGGCAGGATTTATACATTGGGGAAACCAAACAACCTCTGGCGAAGCGGATGGCACAACACAGAAGAGCCTCCTCGTCAGGCCAGGACTCTGCAGTCTGTTTACACCTACAGGCCAGTGGACACTCTTTCAATGATGAGGATGTAACATCCTGGACAGGGAGGAACGCTGGTTTGAGGGCGGAGTCAAGGAGGCCATTTACGTGAAAAGGGAAAGACCATCTCTGAATCGAGGAGGGGGCCTAAGGGTCCATCTGTCACCATCTTACAATGCTGTGATTGCAGCCATTCCCCAACTCTCTGTGAATGGTACTCATGGCAATTGGTCAGTGGTCTTTGATTAGTGGTCATGAGAATTTGCATAATTAAGATTAAGGAACTGGCCTCACAGCCCATTGTTCCTTCAGTGCTGCTGGTTTCAGTCATTATGCAAATGTCCTGTTTATAAGATTGAAACCTGCAGTCAGCTGAGACTGAAGACGTCACCTGGATGATGACGAAACGTTTCTCCCAGAAAACGCTACGTCCAGATGAACAGAATCAACTCTTGGAGTCTGTCTTATAGTTCTCACAGGTGAGCGTCAGAATTACAGACACATTCATTCTCATGTCTGTGGTCTCTGTCTAACTTTTCATGCTCTCCATACATGCAGGAATCTGCAGGTTTTATTAAAACTGTCACATCTCAACACTCAGTGCCAAAAACAGGGCTGATCCCTGTTTCATTTGATAACTGCTTCATGTTCACAAATCCAGTTTTTTAAACCGTGATGTAGAACATGATCTCTCTCACTCTCTCGTTCTCTAAATAAAACCCAGCAAACTGGCAATCACTTCTAAAAGATGGGAGTAGTTCACTCTTTATCAGCTGCAAGACTGTGTAGCACTCGGATGTTTGCCCCAACCCCCAGCCTGCAGGCGTCTGACCTTTAACCCTTGCTGCAATGTGTCCCTCTGAGGGCCTAGTGCAGTAGTAGTAGTAATAGTAGTAGTATTGTGCGACACACATGCACACAGGCTTAAAGAGACGTCACTCTTATGGCTTGAAAATTGTGAAAATTTGTCAGATACTCACATCACAGTCCTGCTGCAAATTAGAAACACTGAAAGGTCAAAGGTCATTATTAAAAGACTTTACACTTGAGTTTCAGCCTAGACACAGACTTGAAAGTGAATCAGAGATATATTTGGGGGAAAAAAACAGAAAAATAAATAATTAGAAAGAATAGTGCACAAATAAAAAAGCCCAAAAACCTACAAATGGCTGCAATATGCAGAAAATACACTTAGACAATTTTGCATTGATGCAATTACTTAAATTAAGACCGTCTGCACTTCAGTTAACTCTCTTTTTTTCTAAAAAAAAAAAAAAAGAAAAAAGAAAAAAGAAAATGTAATTGTGGGGACATGGAGGGAAAAAATGATATTAATGTGTTGATATTAATGTGGTCCTGGGTCTTGGACCCCAAGACTTTTAAGTTCTGTCAAATATTTTCAGCTTAACTTTTGGGTTGTTTAGTTGTTTGTGGTGTTTTGAGTCTTGATTTTTTAGATGCTAATCCTCCTTTGGGTTGTCCATGTTTATGTTTTCAGGTTTTCTTAGTTCTAGTTTCATCACTTTTACTTCCCTTTACCTTTTATCATTCGATTAGTTTCACTTGTTCCGTATTGTACTCCAGCTGTGTTCTTTCCCCCTCATTAGCCTCCAGTATATTTAAAGCCTCCATTTGCATGTGTTCACTGTTGTGTTGCACTGCTTGTTTCCTGCATGCCTGTGAGCTTTTCCCCATTTGATGCCACTTGGTGGATGATTTTTTCTCTGTTATGTGACTCTGCATTTTGGGTTTGCACTTTCCACCACACACAGGATATAAAGGCTTATCCACAAATTTGATCAAATCTATATAATAAATCATGTTGGCACACAGTATTTAGATTTCACATGAATTATTAGAAACCTGTATTATAAGTAAATATGGGTGGGTTCAAATAGTCCCACCAACATAAATTGAATTGAATTGAAAGCCTTTATTGTCACTATACATAGTATAACGAGATTAGAAACAGCTCTATAAAAGTGCACATGTGCTTATAGCACATTATAAAAACTATACAATAATGTAACTATACACTTACTATAAATAAAAAAACAGAGTACAGTGCTGACAGAGACAGACAGTCAGAGAATTGATGATATTTCAGATATTTTGAGTTGAGTATGGTGATGGCTTTTGTGGAGGAAGCTGTTTGTTCTGGCCCTTATGGATCTAAAGCGCCTGCCAGAGGGCAGTAGGTTGAAAAGATTGTAGCCGGGGTGGGTAGTGTCCTTTAAAATGTTTCTGGCCCTACTAAGACAATGGGAGTTGTAGACAGCAGACAAGGAGGGCAGCGGGCAGCCAATGATTTAAATGATAAAGCAGACAGTATGAGCATGTGGTGTAAAATATCAGTTTAATGTGGACATGTCAGAGCTACAATACAAAGAAAATCCAAAACTCAATTACTGTGAACTCACTGCGTGTCTGTGCCTCTCAGACTGATTGAAGTCCATAAGATGATGATCGAGGAAGAGGAGGACAAAGCGAAGTCTGCAGGACTCTGCCGTCTGCCTGTGAAGAGTGACCGGTCCATTGGTAAACCCCCAGACTTCAGAGAAGAACCTGGACCACCACACACAAAGTAAGAACCTGACCTGAACATTTAATCAAATCTGTAGTGATGAAGAGGCATACATTATACTAATGGTAGCAATGCACTGATTGTAATTCCCATTTTCAGTTTTGTGTAAGTGTGACCTGCTGACATCAACTAACAAGTAAAAATCAAGGTTTGTTCATCCAGTAAGGGTTCCCAAAGCTAGTCCCCATCCCCCGGATTAACAAGGTCTGCATCAGCTGCCGCTCCTCGACTGTGCAAAATAGAGAGAGAAAAACATTATATACAGTAAGTAAGTAGATACAAATCGGTAGATGACATTATGCGCAATATGTGAGTAAATTATATACATTAAGTTAAATAGAATAAAAAAATCTGGAAATTTACAGTTCAAAATGTACATTGTGTGAGTGGGGTGTTAAAGTGGCTTGTGCCGCAATGAAGTCAGAAGGATCAGGCATGAAATGGTCTTGCCAACGTTCAGCTGGAGGTGGTTGTCCTGGCACCACAATGCCAGATTCTTCACTTCATCCATGTAGGCCGCCTCATCGTTGGTGGAGATGGCGCCCAACACCACTGTGTCGTCAGCAAACTTCACAATGGTGTTGGAGCTGTGGGTGGCCACACAGTCTGAAGTGTAGAGGGAGTAGAGCAGTGGCGAGAGGACACAGCCCTGTGGTGCTCCCGTGTCGATGGCGATGCTGTCGGAGACACACCTACCCACCCTCAACACCTGAGTTCTGCCAGTGAGGAAGTCCAACACCCATGCACACAGACGGCTGTTGAGTCCCAGATCCCTCAGCTTTGTGAACAGTCTGCTGGGCACTATTGTGTTAAACGCTGAACTGTAATCAACAAACAGCATTCTCACATAGTTACCCTGTTTCTTGTCCACGTGGCTGAGGGTGGTGTGCAGGATGTGGGTGATGGCGTCCTCTGTGGATCTGTTGGGTTGGTAGGCAAACTGGAGCTGATCTGTGTTGTTTGGGATGGAGGAGGAGATGATGTTTTTCACCAGCCTCTCGAACACCTTCATTACCACCGAGGTCAGTGCAACTGGCCGGTAGTCGTTCAGGCATGAGGGCTTGTTGTTCTTGTGGACAGGGATGATGGTGGATCTCTTGAAGCATATGGGGACCACAGACTTAGCCAGGGACTCATTGAAAATCAAAGTGAACACACCTGCTTGCTGGTCAGCACAGCACCGCAGCAGACGGCCAGTGATGCCATCTGGTCCTGCTGCTTTTCTTGCGCTCACTCTCCTCAGCGCAGCTCTGACGTCATGCTCTGCGATGCTGATTGCTGGTCCCTATTGTCAGGCAGTTGTTAGCAATTGTGTAGCAATTGTCTCCCCTCATCGGACACATGACATGTTGATAAAAGTTCGGCATGAGATGTCCAAGGTTTGCTTTATTAAAGTCTCCTGCGGGTCCTTGTTTTGAAACGCACTCAGCACATCATGTAGTTCAGACAGAGCCATACCTGTGTTCGCGTGGGGTGGGATGTAGACCACTGTGGCGATTAACGAGGTGAACTCGCGGGACAGGTAAAAAGGGCGACATTTTATGCTCAGGTATTCCAGATGTGACGAGCAGCCGCTGAAGAGAGTAGAGATGCTCCTGACGTCGCACCACTTTCTGTTTACCATGAGATACACTTCTCCACCTTTGGTTTTGTTTGACTCTGCTGCTCTGTCCGCGCGGAGCACAGAGAGTGACTCCGATGGAATTACTGCCCGATCCGCCACGTTGGGGGTCAGCCATGTCTCAGTGAAGCACAGAATGTTGCAGTCCCTCATGTCTCGTTGGAAGGTGACTCTTGCCCTCAGATCGTCTAGTTTGTTCTCCAAAAATTCAACGTTAGCTAGCAGGATACTGGGCAGTGGTGCGCAGTGAGTATATATGTCGATTTATTCATAGTTTCATGCAACTGTCAAATTCTGTTTCTTTGAGATATATTAAAATGCCATCTGCTGGTCTGTTCCAGCAGTCTGGCTCTATTCCATTTGAACGAAATAGGGACATAGTCTCTAGACTCTGAAATATTAGATATGATTTAATGTCTTGCAACAGCGTCTGTGTTTCATAGTGCAACATGTGTTGCTATAGTGGACAATCAGGCATTTAGACGAGAAAAGCATGTAAGTTACTAAGAGAAAGAGATCGGCCCAGTCTAGACTGTATGGATAAGTGGGTTGGGGGCTGGGGGCTGTAGTGATTATGTATTTATCAAATCTGTCCATTGAGAAAACCCAACAGTTATGCCTTTGTCCCAACTGCCCACCATGGTGTCTGCTGAGAGGTTTCCCCCCTCCTGCACCATTATTTTCTAGAATAGCAACAGCTGTGTTCATGTATTGCTTGTTCAGTCCATTATTTTTTCCTTAAAGCTTTCTTGAGCTAGTTCTTGTAGTTTAAGATATTTTTACTTTGCAATGGTTGTCTGTGGTTGGTTATTGTTACGCTTTAATACTAAACAGTCTGTGCAGTAGAATGTGAAGTTTACGGTTTTTGTAGGTAGTTTAAGCTGAGTAGTCATGTGAAGTTCTTCCATTGGGGCAATTCTAGCCTTGAGTTAGACAAGTCTGCTTTTTATGGAAGAGATTTCTTAACAAAAATGGAATAGAATATTTTTTCAGGATGGAGCAGGAGTAGCAGATTATAAAATGCTCTGTTTAAGCATAACCGTGTCACTCTATCTATGACAAATCTCTTTAAATGTCTTCATGGTCTTCTACTGGTGATCCCCACCAGTTTTGGTGGCCTAATGACAGGAAGTAAGAGAACTGCTACTATCAGGTACTATTAGGCGAACTAAAATGTATATGTAAAACAGTAAAGACTATATACTGAATTCAAAATCCTGCTCCTCACATACAAGGTCTTAAATAATCAGGCCCCATCTTATCTTAATGA